TCAACCTCCTCTTCACTTCATCAAAACTCCACTCACAGGCACCTGTCCAAATGAACGGCTGCTCCTTCCTTGTCAGCTGGGTTAGAGGCGCTACTATCTTGGAGAATCCCTCAATGAACCTTCGATAGTAACCCGCCAAACCCACAAAACTCCAAATATCAGTGACAGTTATGGGACACTCCCATTACAACACTACTCCACCTTAGCCGGATCAACAACAATCCCCTCAGTTGACCCATTAAGTCATCTATCCGTGTAAGTGGATATTTGTTCTTAATGGTCAACTTAATCAACTGTCGATAATCAACACACAATTGACTACCTCTATCTTTCTTCTTTACTAACAGCACGGGAGCACCCCATGACGAAACACTCAGCCGCACCAACTACTTCTTCAACAGGTCCTCCAATTGACCTCTCAGCTCAACCAGCTCAGCAGGAGCCATCGGCCCCCCCGCACCTGGAACCAAGTCAATGCTAAACTCCATCTCCCTAACAGGAGGCAACCCAGGCACCTCATTAGGGAACACCTCAGCAAAATTCCTCACCACATCAATCTCAGTAATGACCCTCTCAGTCTCCACACTCATAGCAACAAGCAACAGATAACACTCTACCCCATCCCTCAACAATTATTCATCTTGACCAGTTGAATCAACAACTCCTCCTCTAGCAGTAAGCATATGGTGAGTCCCTTTCCACCAATGCTCAGCCTCCCCAACCACCATGTAGACAGCATAGGCGGGCCTCCTCTCCTAAGAACATCCCAACCCAGTGAAGATCTTCTCCAGCCCACAGATCCAATGGTCAACTACCTCTGGGTCTGCATCTCCCTTGAATTGTGGAGGATGACATTTCCAGAACTCAGCTAGATCCTGATTCTCTTGCGACCCCACGGGCCTTGTTGCACCAGCTGCAACTCTATCAGCGTCCATCTGAGCAAAATAGGCATTTTGCTTCTATATAGCCATAGCCATCATCTCCATGGCACAGGCTACCTACTAATTGGTTCTAGTCATTGTCTACAGAAGTAACAACATCTTCAATATACAATAACTAAACCAATGAACCATCACCAGCACACCAAAACACCACAACAACCAACACAACAAGACAACACAACACAGAGTTCAGCACAACAAAAGCCTAAAGGAACCACCCCCAAAGAGTGTCCACTAGACTCGAACTACTCTGATACCACTAAAGAGTAACGACCTGGCTGGTCACTACACTCACAACCACAGCACACCGGAAACACTAGACAGGATAGAACGAGTATATAAATATAGGATCTAGAATTTAAATATATACAATGTTCTAATCCGACTAGAGTTAGAGTGTACAAACGAAATACAACCAAAGTAGCCAGATAGTGGCCCAACAAACAAACATTCGCCAAACAAGACTCCTCCCTTTGCCAGCTGCAGACTTGCCACTATCACCAGTCTAACCCTGCTCTGCTCCCATACATAGTATGATCATCGCAGTCCAAACCACATGGAAACAACTAAGGGTAAGCTAGTGAAAAGAAACAACATACATATATAAATATGTGAATAGGAAATAGCTACAATTATCAGCACATCAACCAGCTTAACAACATTAACTTAAAATACCACAACATTTGGCAATAACAGCACACATCTCACATCATCAGCATACAACCCATCAACCAAACAACAAAATAGCAATAAAACATACAATGCGCCGTCTCGCAAATAAGTTAGTATTGGTCGCTTGTAATCGGTATAGGTCGACCGGGCCCCTATACCGTGGTCGCTTTGTACACGTGTGCCTCGACCTTGCCCACACACAAGACCCCTAAGACTTAAAGGAGAACAGCAAGTTACCACTCCAAGGGTCAGCTTCCCAGGGAGGGTTTTCAACAAATTGGGCTCCAAGAGCACCAGAGCCACTCAATCCACACAATGGGATGAGGAAGTTTCGAAAACAACTCCTCTAGTCTTAGTGATCAACAACTCAGCCTTTCGGCCTACATCACCTCAGCCTTTCGGCCTACATCACCTCAGCCTTACGGCCTACAACACCTCAGCCTTTCAGCCTACAACACCTCAGCCTTACGGCCTACAACACCTCAGTCTTTCGGCCTACAACACCTCAGCCTTACGGCCTACAACATCCAATATCAACACACAGTACAACACAACATACAGCTCAACATATCAACTCACAACAGTATACAACTGATACAGCTCAACATATCAACTCACAACAGTATACAACTGATACAGCTCAACATATCAACTCACAATAGTATACAACTAATATAGCTCAACATAATCAACTTACAACAGCATACAACTGATACAACACAACATAGCAACTTATAACAATTTACAATTGGTACAACTCAATATCAACAAGCAGTGTTATCCACAAGTCATCAAATTATAATCAACAGGTTTTAATTGAACTCAACATAAACAACCTCTAACATCCATTAGTGAAGTCACATCTCCGCGCCCGGCGCACTCGTGGTTGCGCCCAGCGCAGTGCAATCAGAGAGCACCAGGGGGCCAGCGCGCCCAGCGCAAGCACGCCCGCGCCCGGCGGGACTTAGCTAGAGAGCTCAAGGCTCACTCGCGGTATTGCGCCCGGCGCCCAAGGCAGAGACTCCCAAGGAGTCTCATGCCCAGCGCGACAAGGGCTGTGCTCAGCGCAGCACATCAAAATCAGCATCCAGTACAGCTAGGTAGTATACAACACAGCTTACTACTCACAACTCAGCTCAGCACGACAATATACATATATATCCATTACAGCGTAGCATTTCATCATTAACAACATAAAACAGCATGATCAACAATTTCACAACGTACGACATGTTCAACACATAATACGACCCAATCCTATTATTTACAACTCATCTATCTTGTCAAATTACCCACCCAAACAACACCAATCAACCTAAGTACTTAGAACAACTTTCAACCTAACCAAATCACTAAATGTGAAATGGCAACCTTCACAGAAAATAGCACATTAGGAGTTATACTACTCCTACCACACTCATCCTTATCTCATATGAAAGATAAGAAGATTTCCTACAACTCTCATGAAGACAGCAAGTCCTAATTCTTTCATCTACCTTGTTAAAAATTTTAAAAACCGCAACAGCTATAAGTAATGCTGGCAGCTTGACCCCTCTTCACTAAAACGGCCATATCTGGAGTTCTAAAACTCCTTTTTGAGTGAGTCCAGCGCCATTGGAAAGCTAACATCCAAGGCTACAACTTTCATTAAGACTATAAAGTCAAGCGCGCTCGGCGCGTTAAAAGCGCGTCCGGCGAAATTCTCAACCAGAGACTTTCAGGGGTCTATTGCGCCCGGCGTGGTTCTCCCCCGCGCCCAGCGCGATTCACCCAGGGATTCCCACTTTGAACTCACGCCTGGCGCGAAGAACTGCGCCCGGCGCAAATGCAAACAGGAACCCGCACCTACTTCAAAAATTTCATCAAAACCTGCGAAAAATCACATCCCAAACACATGCAAACCCAGAAAAGTGTCTCATTTTCAACCAGCAGCTCAAAAATCATGCCTTTTCGTACATGCAACAACAAAACAAGAATTTCCCAAAATTTCTCAAAGAACCCCGAAAACCCCATACTCCAATCTCAGCAAAATCATCAAACACCAAGCAATCAAGGAGTTCCTAGAACTTGTTTTCAGCCAAAACGTAGCAAAAACTAACTTCCCTTACCTCGGTGAAGAAATTCCGAGCTTCCGGGAAAGCGAAGGAGAAGACGAAAGACGAACGGAGAAAAAGATAAACGCCCAGCTATCAACTAACTCCACGAGAAAAGGACCACCTTGCTCACAGTCTTGGCCTGAGGAGAAGAAATTGGTATCAAATATTTTTGAGTGAAAGGAGAAGGGAGAATGAGAAAAGAGAGTGAGAGGGACAACAAAGAAAGGAGAAGGGAGGGAGTGGCTACGGGGGTCTCACAATTTTTTCTGTAAATAATGTTTATTTATTTATAGAATATTACCTTCGAAATTTTTTCTGTAGATAATTTTTAATTATCTACGAAATTTTCAGTAAATAACATATGATGGGTGGATAATGAAAAAATTCAGATTACCTACGAATTTTTTGTAGTTAACCTTGGCGGGATGGAGGACAATTTTTTTTTTATGCTCTAAGTGATGTAAAGAATATTTAGTAAAAAATAAATATTATTAAAATTTGTCATTTTAAATTTTTTTATTTTTATAAATTAATGATAATAAAAAATAACATAGCAATTTTTTATAATAATATCAAAATATTTAATAACATTTAATTTAAAAATAAGTAAAATATTTAAAATAAATAAAAATAATAATAAGTACAATATTTTATTTTATGATATGTTACCTTAAATATTAAAATACTAAAATATTCTTAATAAATATTATAATTCAAATTATAATACATATTTACCTAAACGTACCAACATTCATTCTCTCACGCACTAACTGTCATTCTCGTACCCAAACCCAAACGGAACCCATTAAATATATTTATCAAGATGAGGATAATTTGAGGGGTGATAAGCATAAGTACGATCATATTCATGTATATAATTATAAAGAATAGAAGAAATGAGTATAAAAATTATTACTTACATAATACTACATTTTTTATAACTATAATTAATATTTAAATTAGTTTAAATAGTTTAATTACCTGGAAAAAAACCTGATTAGGTTAGATAAAAAAAATATCAATAAATTATTATTTAAGTAAGAAAATAATGTAAAAGTATAATTGATATCTTTAAATAAATTGGTTTATAGTTTATAATTAAAAAAATTATTTTAATTATAGAAACGAAAAATGTAAACAAACATTGCATATAATTAAATTATTATCCTGAATTACTTTAATTATTCAATTTAAATGTGATTTTGTTAAATGTAATAAAATCATTTTTAATACACTAATTAAAATATATATGGTAATAATTTACTTAATGAAATCAGAAAGTTAGTTTGCATGTAGAAACTCAAATACTCTTCCCGAGCGAACATCCATGTAAAGCATACCTTTCTTCTCTTCTCAACCCATTTTGACACGAATTCTTGTTGACCATCGACTGACAAACGTGGTGGTCCTCTTGCTCGAGTTCTTCGTCGAGTTAGCACTGCTGACGTGTTTGAGGTAATCTTTTGGTTTATGATGCATTACATTTTATTCAACTCAAATGAAAAATTAGGGTTTTTTCCTGTATTTATTTCAATTGGGCCAAAATCTCCCACACCACCGCCGTGGCTGCCGCTAGTGCCGCTGCCGGCGTCACCTTCGCCATGGCAGCGCAGCTCGTCTAGACACCGAATTGATGTCGTGAGTCATAGACTCATGGTTCAGGGGAGCGGTTGGAGCCAAACCGTGCTTGCCAATCTCAATTCTAAGATTTACAAGAACGGTTAGGAGAAAGAGGCCTTTAACTTTTGTGCAAACGGTTAGGAGTTTGGTAAAGGAAGGTGGGTTGGTTGCGTGTTACAGAGGCTTGGGGCCGAGATGGGCCTTCATGTCCATGTCTGCCACAACCATGATTACTACTTATGAGTTCTTGGAACGCATGTATACCAAGATTCAAGAGGATTTGACTTCAACATAGTGTGTAGGAATTAGGATGATCATAGTCATCATTACTTGTTCTTTTTGGAACTTGGAATTTTCTTTCTCATTTGTAATGGTCTACCTCATCATCAGTCATCGCCATAAATGATACTGGCTTGTATATATTACTTTTTTTCTTTCTCTAGATCCTTTTACCAAATACAATAATACTTGTGGTGGAAGGATATGTTCTGCCATCACTGTTCACTTTAGTCTTGTAAACAGTAAAGTCTATCTTAATTCTATGAAACAGAGTAAGCCAACAAGAACATGTGGGTTATGAATCAAGGAATTCTAACAACTCAAGTTCTGGGCTGTAAATAGAGCTTTTACTGAAAAGTCAATAAGAATATTGTATTCTTGTCTAGTCCTTTAGAGATAACCATGAGAAATTGCTCTGTACCTTGGTGAACCTAGAAATGAGAGGAAGTATTAAAACAACCAATAAGGAAAAGGAAAACTCAGGAAAATAAAATCAAATTTCTTTTTTAAGAATATTTAATTGCTTGTGGATTATTTTATGAAATTTCTTCTCATTTTTTCTAGAATTTCAATTTAAATAGGCCATACCTGATGAAGTGTGGGTTTGTGGGTCTTCTGCAAGAGTTCTAGATTTCAACCACAGTCCCATTAAAAATGTCCCTGTTAAAATTGCAGGTCTTACTGGTCTAGAGGTAAGCTGAACTTCTCTTTCTCTCTTTATAGCTTTAGTTTCTGCTGCATTCGAATATTTTTGTTGGTAGCAATATTTAACACTACTTGCTATTTTCAAAAACAATGTAGAAACTATTCATTAATGCAAATGAGATAGTGGATGAATCAATTAGGTGGGATGGACTAACAACTCTGAAGTACCTAACTATATTATCATTAAACCATAACAAGTGAGTAGATGTTATCATTTTCAATTTCAATGCGATATGTACGTATTGCATGAACAATGGATTTTTGTTTATACATCCAAACGATAATAATTTTTTGTAGCTGGTCCCCTGCCCAAAGAAAATGGGGTGGAGTAATTATATTGTTTTCATGTTTCTGCATATTGCTTTGGAGTTAAATGTAAAATGCTAGAGGTGTCTTAAACTAATGTAAACGTTACTTCAGCTATTTTGGTTTAATGTTATTTCTGTTCATTTTGTTAAATTCTTTGCATAGTTGGAAGAAAAACTTTGGCTGCTAGATCTTTATGTTTCAAGATGATCGAGAATTATGTCTTTTAATCATAATGTAATTTTGCTTATTTAACATGAATTATGCAGTTTAACTACTTTTCCACCAGCACTCGGATCTCTTACCTCTTTAAGGGAGCTGCATGCTTCCAATAATAAATTGGGTGGCCTTCCAAATGAAATAGGACAGCTGACACAATTAGAAGTTTTGCCAGCCAACAATAATAGGTATTATTTAAACTTTTGCATTTGATTAAGTATGGATAGTTTTTCATAGCTCATGCAATGGTAAATTTGGTCAAATTGGCAAAACCCTGTTTAATCATTATCTGGCACTTGACTTGTTTATTTTGTCCATCTGATTGATTTATATGTGCTTGTTTACATGTTGCAATTTTAAGAATGAATAAATATAAATTCTTATTGGATTATTAAATGTCTGGCACTAGTCCTTGTTAAGCCAAAGCAGGCAGAATAGATTATTCCACATGGATAGTGATTGGATTTTAGGCCATGACTTTTGGATCAAGAGAAAAGTATCCGCGACTTTCTTATACCTTTATTTAGCGTCAACATTAGTATTGGTAGTGGTTTTTGCTCAGACAATATTACTTTTTTATTTTGTAAATCTTTAATACCATTAACTCAACTTTAGATCCTTGGTAGATACTATATATATGTATATATATACCAGTGCAGTGATGAATCTAAATTATATTTTCAAATAAATATATAAATTATATCCACCAATAAATATATAAATTATATTTACAAATTTTATAAGCAAATATTTTTAAATATGTAGATTATATTAAAACAAATAATTTATATTACTGTAAAATATTATTTTTATTATTGATAATTAATTTTAAAAGAATTATAAGTGAGAATTATTTGTTATATGTAACTTTCAGTATAATTATAATTACCACTTTTATATTTAAACAGAGCGAGCGAGCCATAGAGATTAAGTTTCAGATACTTTTGCAACGAAGACGAGGGTTCGAATCCGTAGAGAGAAAGCGAGCGAGTCAACCTGCTGCGAGAAAATGAGAAGAATGAGAAGAGGATGGTTTTCCACGGAATCTGTAAGTGAATTTTTCTTTTTTCTTTCTTTCTTTTCCCGCGATTTTCTTTCTTTCTTTTCCGAAGTAAGAAATGTTTTTTTTTTTAATGAATAATACTTTTGTACTTACTTATTTTTCATTTATGTACAATAATAGGAAATAATTTTGACAAATGAAAATGACCGGAGGTACTCGTATTACGCATGGAATCTTTTATGGGTAATAAATATCTCAAAGATTTGCTTCATGGTCCATCCTTTCAACAGTTTAACCCAATTCATTGATGCGGGCTACAGGACAGAATCTATATTAAGCCTTGAAGAAGCTGTTCACAAGTTTTTCTTAATAATGATTTGGGGTGCACTAGTTATCCTGAATAGCATTGGAACTGTCATAGTCGCTTGGTCACTCCATTTTTGTGTACCCTCCAATATATTTTTGGGAGTTCTTACATTGTGTTGCATATCGACTATATATGATGCAACGACCGGATATATTGTCGAGGGGGGTTTAATTGAAATATCAGCCTTTTTGGCTGTGGGTGGAGGGACCATTGTCTTTTTTGTGCTTTTTAGTTTGATATTCATAGGAATTTTCAAAGTCATCCGTCCTTATGTCTGTTAGTGTAAAAGAAGTGGCCGCTAAACTTGTAAGTTTTGTATCAACACCGAACTCCTTTTTGGAAGCTCTTAACACGTTCTTTTATGACTTAGTTTCTATGGCTTAATTTTACGTTTTTTATTTCCTCACTTTACCATGGATGACGAAGATTGTTGCATACATTATCACATGAGTTACTGTTTCCGCTACTTCCCTGCACATCCATCAGTCATATAGGATCACTATTCTTCATTCATTTTTAGTAATTATCTTTCTTAAAACCTGATTTATTATTAATACTGATACATCACATACCCAAACATTGGTATGCAAATGAAAATTATATAAATAACCAAATACTAGAAACATAATGGAATAAAATGTTGTATAATTTCTTACTATATTCACTTTATTCTTCTTCTTAAGATCCTAACTAAAATTTAAAATAAACAAAATGTGTTTATATAACGAGGATGCTGTAATTTTTCTAAAAATAAGATTATTGATGATATTGATATATCGCACGCATTCAAAAGCAATTGATATGCGGAACAAACATCTACATAAAACTTGTGTTCACCAATCTAAGGAAAGACAAAAAAAAAATGAAACCATCTACTTGTGCTTAGAAGACAATGAACACAGCAAAGCTAAGAAGACCATGTAACATAAGAGTTATCTGGATCTGGTTGAACCCTTGTTTATCAGCAAGCATGAGAGAACTTGAGATGGTAACTGAGCAGGTCGGGTACGGGTTTTATGATACCCGTCCCTGCGAGTCAAACCCATTCCTGTCCCCGTACTCGTAGGGTATATGATTTTCATCCCTATCCTCGTTCTCGTTGGGTATCGGGTATACCCTGTTGGATCCTTAATCCAACGTTGGTCTTATATGTGAATAATTATATATTAAGGACACATAATGCCAAATTAAAGTGATCTAATGATGTATAAATTATTTTGACAGTTATGTATCTAAAAGGTTATGGAACCTTTAATGTGTGGTAACTAAAGGGTAATTCTATTTTGTGATGGGTTAAAATAGAAATACCAAAAGACCTTATGACTGTCTACAAATAGGTTAGGTCCCCAGATCACACGACGTTCTTTTCTTTTCTGACATCCCATTATCAGAGAGAGACAGAGAGATAATTAAAGGGTTTTCTCAAGAGAGTACGTGTTGATCTGGAAGGCCAAACCACACCGCTCTCTTATCATCATGAATTCAGGTATGCTTCCGCTTATTGTTTCTAGTGATTAACATGATAATTTTTTTATTTTTATATAGATGATGGCTTTCATCAAAAGTTTAAATTTGGTTCTAACAATTGGTATCAGAGTCATTTATCATGTTTTATCATTAGGAATATTTTGGACATGTTTCTTCATTATAGTATTATATAAATTCACCATGCATGTACAGTTGAAAGAAAATCCAATATATGTATCTTCTGAATATTATAGTAAGGAGAAAAGGACTTTAATTGTTGGCTGATTTATTTATTTATATATTTTTTGAAATTCCTTTATGTAATTTGGAAAATGGATTTTCATATGCACCGTAACAAGGAATGATAGTTGTTTATTTGATTTTAATGGAGTTTGCTTCCAGTAAAGTTTATTTCTACAATTTGTATTCATTACTATGGTTGAATGCAATTGATTGGATTGGTTTCAGTTTCAATTTACAATTTTAATTAATTTTAAGGTGATATATTAGACGCATATTATATTTAATTAGTCTGAACTTTTGATTTGCGTTTGATACATAATATTTGTTTGATATATTGAACATTTACAAGCATGTATTGAATTTAGTAAATTATATTGTATGAAAGGTATGATTTTTATATCAATTTTGGGATTTACGACTAATTGGTTATGAAGAATCAAATAATAGTCTTTTATATTTTGACATAAATTTCTTGATGATTCTCACAGATTATGTATTAAATTGATATACTATTATATCTCTTTATGCTAATTGATTTCGATTTCAATTACGAATTAAATTCATTTTTAAATTGATATGTTATATATTGCAATTGATTTCGAATTCAGTTACGAATTTAATTCGTCTTTAAATTATGAATTCATTTGGTTTTAAACTGATACATTAATATATATTATGTCCAACGTTTAATGTATTAATTATTTTTTATATTGAGAATTCATTTGATTTAATATGTTTACATTATTGCAATAATAATTGATTTTATAATCAGTTTGATTTTTATATATACACACGTTAATATTTTTATTTATTATAAAAAAAAAGGAACCTACATATGATTACAATAAAGGTTGATTTGTGTGTATATATAAATTTAAAAATATTAATTAAATTCAAATACTAAAATAGTAAAAATAAAGGTTTATATATATATTTTAAGATTAATTAATTGAAACAACATGTCACCAAAGTGACCTCTTTTGTGAAAATTAATTTATTTTAAAATATAAAAGGTTGTGATCTTGTAACTTATGTGTGTATTAGTCGACCCAAAGGAAGGTTAATATTTTACATAATTACATGTGTACTTGTGGTGATAAATGCGTAATAATTATTTGGTTTCTTTTTTACGTGTAAATATTAAATCAGCCCAAAGGAAGGTTTATTATTTGACATGTTCTTATTATTAGTGTACTATCCGTACTGCGAATTCGAGCTCCGAGCTCGGCACAACAATGCAAGACGACCTGGGACACGTGCTGGACGACGTCAGCCCGGTATTTAAGCAAATCATAACTGAACCTCGGGATCCCGCCTTAGACAAGATCCCTCATTTAATCATATTATATCATGTCATATCTTATCTCAGGCCCAAAGCCCAAAGTAAACCTAAATCACTCCAAGGTACGTGCATTATATATACGAGACTATTACTCATACAAACCCTAACTTTGGCATCAGAGTCTCTTTTGCAGGTACCACCCCCGTCTTGGAGCATCAGCGTACCCGCGAAGGAGGCTCACTGATCTTACCAGGAGAATCACCTCTACGGCAGATTTCCGGTAAGAACATTTGGCGCCCACCGTGGGGCTGATCAAGACAACTCTTATCGGCCACTTGTATGGTTTCTACCAGAAGCCATAACAGACGAGTAACAAACGACGCAAATCACTCAACTACCATGGATAGCGACGCTGCAACTTTGAGGCGACTGATCGACCAAGTCGAGCAGATGCGACAACAGCACGACACCGACTTACGCAACCTACGTGCACAGCACGAAAACGACCTAGCGGCAATTCGGGCCGCCAATGAAGTAGACCTCGCAGCACTACGCGCCGAGAACGAGCACATTCGCGCTCAACTACCTCGACGCCCCTCTAACAACCCGCCTCACGAGAGCAACGCTCACGAGGATGAGGCGCACTCAGCCTCTCACTCCCGGACGACAACCAAGGCACCAACTTCACGTCCCACCACGCACCGGTCTCACATATCGACACACAAGTCGGGGCACGATGTCAGCAAAACCCCCACTCATGTCATAGAGGGCCAAGAAACCTTTCGCCATCATCCTTTCGTGGACGACATTATGGAGACTCCACTCCCCCGCGGATAGAAGTCTCTCCACCTCGACCGCTATGACGGCACGACAGACCCCAATGAGCACATCGACCTGTACACAACCCAAGTAAACCTCTACACTAACAGTGATGCTATCCTGTGTAGGGTTTTTCCGACCTCGCTCAGGGGAGCTGCACTCCCCTGGTACACCCAGCTACCCGCCAGGTCCATAGACAGCTTCAACACCTTAATCCAGCGGTTCACGGTGCAATACGCCATAAGCCGACCTCACCACACAACCTCGACCACTTTGGCCAACCTCAGGCAGAACGACGACGAACCTCTGCGAACTTTCATGGAGCGTTTCTCTAGCATCTCGGTGAGAATCAGAAACTTAAATCCCGAGGTCGCCTGCACTCCATGCTCATGGCCCTCAAGGCAGGCCCCTTCGTTGACAGCCTGTGCCGGAATCCCCCTCGCGACTTGGACGAGCTCCGTGCTCGCGCGGCCGGGTACATCTAGATGGAGGAGCACTCCGCTTTCCATGACCAGGTTCGCGGAAAAGGTCCAGCGAGGCCGGAACAAGGGCATAAGGACAAAATCAAAGTCAACAATGACAGCCAGTTCAAGAAGTCAACTAAGGCAAACAGAGGGGGGAGATACGACTTCTACACTCCCCTAAATGCGACCAGAGTCCACATCCTAGAGGAAGCCAGCAACATCAACTTGTTCGCCCTTCCACCACCGGGTCACACCCCCAACAGTGCCGACAAGTCCAAGCACTGTAGGTACCACAGGAACTATGGTCACACCACGGAGGAATGCCGCACGCTCAAGGACCGTATCAAAGAGCTCATTCAGGCAGGCCACCTCGGCCAATACGTCCAGCGACAGCAGGGTAACCGAGGTGGCTACGGCGGTCGGGGACGAGGTAGAGGCCGCGGTTCGGGAACTCGCACCGACCCACACCCAGGCTCTCAGCAAAATGCCAGCGGCGCAGTACAAGCGGAGATAAGTCAGGAAACAGAATCGGCTCCCTTACAGGGAGTAATCAACACAATTGCAGGTGGCTTTGCAGGGGGAGGCGCCAGTAGCTCGGCTCGAAGAAGACACCTGCTGAGCATCAACTGCATCCACTCTACCACCTCGGCCCTCCACCAAAGCTCGTCGCCGATCTCCTTCTCTAACGAAGACTACGCCGGTGTCAGCCCCAACCAAGATGACCCCATGGTCATCGTTGTGGAAATAGCTAACTGGAAAGTGCAGAAAACACTCATTGACCAGGGAAGCTCTGCCGACGTCCTCTACTGGCCGACTTTCCTCAAGTTAGACATTCCCCACTCTCTCATCCAACCTCACACGGAGCCCCTAGTCGGCTTCGCAGGAGAGCGAGTTCACACTCAGGGGCACGTAGACTTATTAACAACTTTTGGAACGCCACCAGATACAAGGCGGGTCATGGTCCGGTACCTCCTCGTGGAAGCCAACACTTCCTACAACATCATCATCGGGAGACCAACCTTAAATCAGCTCGGAGCGGTGGTATCCACTCCACACCTCACCATGAAGTTCCTAGGAAATGGCGGTAAAATTATCACTGTCAAGGCAAACCAGAAGACAGCTCGGCAATGTTACGCCGAGAGCTTGAAGGTCTCCTCATCCAGCAAGCAAAGCAAGGGGGGTCCCCTAACCGCAGCCCCTTAAGTCTTACCTCTTCTTTTAATTTATCAGTATGAACAAAGTTGTGCACTCTTTTCCCGCCTCAGCCTTGGACTGAGAGGGTTTTTAACGAGGCACGAAGATACAATAAATAAAATTACTCATTTTTGCTCAATCCGTATTCTTATTTTTTCTGTTTATATGAAGGATGAAAGCGAACCCTAAAACGAGCAAATGCAAATTCCGAGGTCGAATACGAACCTCGACACTTTTGTTAAAGGTCGAAACCGAACCTTAGTTAAAGTGTATATCCCAAATCCGAGGTCGAGTACGAACCTCAATATTCTCACTTAAAGGTCGAATTCGAACCTTCATTACATCGTTTATCTCAAAGTGAGGTCGAGTACGAACCTCGAACACGTAAATCCGAGGTCGAGTACGAACCTCAATATTCTCACTTAAAGGTCGAATTCGAACCTTCATTACATCGTTTATCTCAAAGTGAGGTCGAGTACGAACCTCGAACACGTAAATCCGAGGTCGAGTACGAACCTCAATATTCTCACTTAAAGGTCGAATTCGAACCTTCATTACATCGTTTATCTCAAAGTGAGGTCGAGTACGAACCTCGAACACATAAATCCGAGGTCGAGTACGAACCTCAATATTCTCACTTAAAGGTCGAATTCAAACCTTCATTACATAGTTTATCTCAAAGTGAGGTCGAGTACGAACCTCGAACATGTAAATCCGAGGTCGAGTATGAACCTTAATATTCTCACTTAAAGGTCAAATTTGAACCTTCATTACATCGTTTATCTCAAAGTGAGGTCGAGTACGAACCTCGAACACGTAAATCTGAGCTCGAGTACGAACCTCAATATTCTCACTTAAAGGTCGAATTCGAACCTTCATTACATCGTTTATCTCAAAGTGAAGTCGAGTACGAACCTCGAACACGTAAATCTGAGCTCGAGTACGAACCTCAATATTCTCACTTAAAGGTCGAATTCGAACCTTCATTACATCGTTTATCTCAAAGTGAGGTCGAGTACGAACCTTGAACACGTAAATCCAAGGTCGAGTACGAACCTCAATATTCTCACTTAAAGGTCGAATTCGAACCTTCATTACATCGTTTATCTCAAAGTGAGGTCGAGTACGAACCTCGAACACGTAAATCCGAGGTCGAGTACGAACCTCAATATTCTCACTTAAAGGTCGAATTCGAACCTTCATTACATCGTTTATCTCAAAGTGAGGTCGAGTACGAACCTCGAACACGTAAATCCGAGGTCGAGTACGAACCTCAATATTCTCACTTAAAGGTCGAATTCGAGCCTTCATTACATCGTTTATCTCAAAGTGAGGTCGAGTACGAACCTCAAAAATGCAAAATCTTAGGTCGAGGACGAACCTCGGATTTCCCACATAAGGTCGAGTTCGAACCTTAAGGTCGGGTTCGAACCCTAATTAAATCATTTACTCAAATGCGAAGTCGAAGACGAACCTCGGCACTCTCACCTAAGGTCGAGTTCGAACCTTAATTGAATCGTTTACTCAAATACGAAGTCAAGTACGAACCCCAAAAATGCAAAATCTTAGGTCGAGGACGAACCTCGAATTTCCCACATAAGGTCGAGTTCGAACCTTAGTTACATCGTTTTACTAAAATTTAAAGGCCAAGTACGAAGCTCGACACTTTCGTTAAAGGTCGAGTCCGAACCTTAATGAAATCACCTAACACCAAGTTCAAACCTTAATTAAACCGTTTTGCTCAAACTCGAGGTCGAGTACGAACCTCTACCCATTTATCTGAAACGATAATGTAAGATCGGATACAAAATTTAACACGTTAACCTAACGACGGGTCGAACTTTCACAACGTGTCGCTTCACAAAAACCAAGGTCAACTCCGAATCTCGATGAGTTACCTGACAAAATCACGAGGTCAAGTTCAAACTCTGACTCGGCCAAAGGCATCACCGCGCACAAAAACATACAACAGACACCAAAAGAAGGCCTAGAAGTAGGCAAACAGCAAAAAACAAGAGCAAATAAACAAAGTGAATATATACAAGGTCACGGAGTTCAAACACAACAAAGGAAGGGTAAACTGAGTTATTACAAAGGTGGCCTAGGCTGAGGCATTCTCACTAGAACTGTCGTGGACATCGTCCTCCTTAACCAGCCTCCCAAAGCGGACCACCTTCTCCACATGCATGGAAGAAAAGTCGAACCCGGGAGCAAGGAGACGTGCCTGACGTGCAGCCTTCTGAAAACCCCTTTTGTGTTCCACTACCACGGAGCGCTCGGCCTCTGTGAGCCTCCCTTCCACAGTCGCCTTCCCCGCCGCGAGCTCCGCCAGCTCTGCCCTTAAGGAGGCAATCTCATCCTCCCGACCCTCAAGGATGACCTCGTTGCGGAGGCGCTCCTCAGCCGCCGCCAACTCCCCTTTGAGAGAGGACACAATATCCTCCAGAGCCCACACTTGGCCACGGGAAGACGTCACCTCATCTTCCAAAGAGCGAGCGCGGCCTTGAGAGAAGGCGACGAGCTCCTGCAGCTCCCCCACCTGAGAGGCATAAGTCTCGTTAGACCGCAAGGCGATCTCAAGAGACTTCTGCACCCTCGCAAGGTCGCCCCGGGCAGATCGGAGCTCGGCTTCCTGCAGCTTCGCCTCACCAAGGGCAGTGCTGAGAGCCTGGTTCTCTTCCCTCAGGATCTTGTTCACATCCTTCCAGGGTTGAAGTCGACCCCTCAGCTTGGCCAGCTCTTCTTGCTGCTTAGCCAATTCCTCCTGTTGCTGACCCACCTAGCCTTTCAGTGGCTCATTATGCCCATCGCCCTCTACTATCAACCCCTGGTCATCGAAACTCAACGAGCCCTGAGGGAAGAACCTTTCGGCGGTCACCCCCGCGCTCCACAGCGAGTCCATGTCGGCCGAGGCACTTACATGGTCCAGCCGTACCTTCGAAAGGCCCTTCCCGAAGCGATGAGATAAGTATCGGCTCCGGGAAGCCCCCTGCGACGAGCCAAATGGCGGTGCCGAAGCCGTGGCGGCAGACGAGGGAACCCCACGGCTTAGACCCTCTCCATGAACTTCAGCAGAGGCAGAAGCCGGCGCCCCCTGCTCAGCATCTACAAAGTCCGCAATAGGGACCTCCGACCTCGCCTGCGAAAACCAGCCTTAAGTCAAAAAAACGAACAAGGCAACATACCAGGAACCACAAAATTAAGCAAGCACTACTTACCCCAACAGCTTCAGCGACCCACTCAATGGCTGAGGGCACCACCCCGGCAGTTGGAGCAGCCGGCCCAGGGCCGGAGGTCGTCAGCCCGGCAGCATTTCCTGCCTGAAATGACCTCAGATCAAAAGACAAGAAAAGCATAATAAAAAGATAAACGAAAAGCCCAAGAGATAAGGTACTCACCACCTCGGCAACTCGAGCAACTTGCTCAGCAGCCTGGGCTTCCACCTCGGCGACGGCCACCCCGGCCTACAAGAGGACCCATATCGTCTCAGCAAACCAAGCAATAAAGTCAACACGAAAAAATGAACAATGCAATAAGATACTCACCTCGGCGGCCTACACAGCAAGCTTAGCAGTTCGGGCCACCTCCTCAGCAACCATTGAAGGAACCTCTTTAGACGGCAGACTCTTAGTAAGGTCCACCACATCAACATCAGCGACCTTGGAGGTCACCTCCTTAGCATCACGAGGGGCGGAGGTCCCCCCGACCTCCTTCTCCCCCCTCTTTCTTTTTCGGTGTGTCCTCAGGGGGGCAGCATCCTCCTCCAGGGGCTCGGGAACCTCGAGCTTGGTAACGTTGTAGCGATGCTTAAGCTCGCGCCACAAGTTTTTCCCCATAATGCCTGCAAACAAAAAATAGAAACACGTCAGCAAAAGGAAACTACACAAGTCCTAGCAAACTACCAAAACACGGAATACTCACTCTCTAAGCCCCTCTCCCTGTAAGACGAATTTGCAAGCGACAGAACGAGCTTGCAATCCAACGGGTGAGGTAGCGCAGCAAGGTCTTTAATGGCGGCCGCCTCCGAAGCCGTCACTTTCAGGTCACCCAAACCGTGAACCTAGACGGTTTGGGGCACCAATAAAAAGGAAATTTCGGCAAACCGTCGAAGTGGAACACCTCATCCTCCAAAGGGTTGACACCCACAAGAGTGACCCGGAAGAACTCGTGTTTAAAATTTTTATATGACTGGGAGTAGAGCGTAAACAGACCCCCATCCCTACTCCCATTCAAGGACAAAATGCCATAAGGCGGAACGCCCATCTTTAGTTGATAAAAATGAAGAAAGACGCGAAGAGACACCTCTAACCCCAAAACTGTACACAGGACTTGAAAAGCCATCAAAAAACCCCAACTGTTGGGATGCAACTGGCAAGGAGCCGCATTGATAAAATTCAAAAAATCCCACTCGAACGGAGTGAAGGGAAGACAGACGCCTAAATCCCTAAAAAAGCATTGATACATATAGAAATGGGGAGGGTCAGTAGGCTTCCCCATATACACACCCTCATCGGTCTGACAAGGCTCAAGCCAAATCATATGGGAGATAGAAGGATCACAAACCCTATGCGTCCTCCGAACTGTATTTACTTCAAGAAAAGATTGGAAAATGCTCTGGACCTCTGCCACCTCGCGTTTAACCCAGTCGTAACCAGGGATGCCTGGCTCCAGGTCCCTAGGTGGCGGCGGGTCCTTCTTCTCAACAGCGACCCTTCCAGCGGCCATCGCTTTGCCACGCGCCCTGCCCCTGGCAGGCGTAGAAGAACCTACACCACTCCCACCCGCCATTAAAAGAAGGAGAAAACCCGAAGAGGATTTGGGGAGAAAGAGAGAAGAAACAGTAAAAAAGAAGTACCTGGTACTCCTCCTCAGAAAATAACCCTAACAAGGAATGGGTTACCGGAAACGGCGGCGGAAGCACAGAAAAGATGAAGAGAGGAGACGAGCGAAAGCAAGAAGGCAGGAAGAGTTATCGTATTCGAGAAGCCAAAAGCAAAAATAAGAAGAGTAAAGTGAAAGAGACGAAGAGGCGCGAGTGAGAGAAAAGAAAAAAACTTTCCCCCAAATTCAAAACCGTCACGACACGTGTCAACCAAGGGGCACACCTAACAATCCATTAATTACAAAACATCATTGCATAACCGTCATTTCCCCCGACACGCTGCTCACACGTTTCCGGGAAATGAACAGTTGTGACACATGGAACCTCTACAAGCAGCGTACGTTAAAGGTCACTTCCCCCCCAGCGAGCTCGGCCTTAAC